CCCCCCCGCCCAGAAAAACAGAAACACGGAAACACAGCAGCTGCACCCGCAGCAGCGGCAGAGTGCCCCTCAAGCACGGTGTATAGATGGCCCGTTAGTGAATTTACCAAGTGGTTGGCTAGGGCGAAAGCTGCCCATTCTCTTATGAAGCGGGATCTGGCTATGAGGATGAGGCGTCGAGTTTCGAGAAAACCAGCGTAGTTCCTTTCATGGATTTGCAGGTGAGCCAAATCGCGCATTGCAGAGAAGTTGTTTGAGTCCAGACGCAGTGTTTGCACGAAACACTTGGTGGCCTCCGCGTAATCTCTGATTCACACAGAGCAAGAACAGATACAATAGGAGGTTATTACGGGCGGGTTTATACTAGACAAGCTGAACAACTATTGAGTAGGCAACATATTAGAGAAGGTACAAACCAACTAAGGGAAGTGGTTCTGCATTCGAAAGATACTCCGGTCTTTTGTATTCCATTTGGTTCTTGTTTTGTGCTGTATCCGAGGAATGCATCCAACTACCTGTCTTGTCTGTAGAGGAGTCCTAGCACGTGCCAGCACACGCAGTTGGTGATATCGGCGCGCAGCCCTTTCCTAGCATATTCATACGCTTCTTGTTTTCTCTCTGGGCCCATGTTGGATAAAATGAGGCCTTTCATTGCTAGGGTCTCTCCGTGTTCGGGAAACCTCTTCAAAATGAGGTCGGCCTGTTTCACCGCCTTTTTGTTGTGCTTTTGTTCGTATAGCCACTAATCGCACAGGCAGAAACAGAACAAAAGTGGTCCTCCCTCACACCGCAGCAAGCAGCAGCAAGGAAAGCACAAGAAGCAACAAAAGAAAACTGCAAACAATGACTGTAACACTAGCAGGAAAACACGCCAAAGAAACGAACGTAGACACAACACAGGACCGTACCTACCAAAAATAATAAAAACAAAAAGTGCATGCAATAATGGCACAATATATAAGTGAAAAGGCAGACAGGCAGACAGGCTGCGGGTATAGTTTATACTACCACCTAAGTATAGAATATTTATTCATTAGCGTATCCGTTATGCGTTGTACATACTACTACACAATATGCAAAAACCACCGGTTACGTGTGTTTTCGTATTTGTATGCACATATACGGACCATCATGTTCTTAAATATTGACTGTTCTTTACTGGGAAGGGCCCTCCAGCTGGGCGTATCGTTTTTATTCTTCATTTTCGGGGAGAGTCAAATGAGGATCCAGAGGCAGCGCCAAATCAAGCTAATAAAATGATGGCTATGTTGCCGCAGCCGCAGCAGCAGCGGCACCAAAAGAACCTGACCAGACTATATGCTGGCGTGCAGCGGGTTTTTGTGCGTCAGAAGGGACTTGGGTTGCCTCCCTCGCCCAGAAGGGCCCCCTGCATGCACCGGCTTGAGTCGTTGAGGCAGCAGACGCACTTAGGCGCCCGGACTTGGGGCGCCTGGCCGCTTAAAGTAAAGGAAAGGAACGACAGAGAACATCGGAATGAAGTTTTCAGCAAAAGAACGCCTCAGGAACGCTGGCGGGAGTTGCTGCATGCAGTGCGCGGCGGCATCGAGAGGGGCGGATTCGTCGGCCAACAACAGACTTAAACCCCCACTTCAACGAAAAAGCCGGGATTCTTCTCTTTTATTTACAAATTTCAAACCGCTGGGGACAAAGTTTCCAAAGAAGGAGTAGAGAGCCGAGGCAGCCCTCCCTAGTGGGGTGAGGCAACCGCAGTAGCCGACTCGGCTTCCAGAGAGAGCATGCAGGCAAATGTAGGGGGGTTGTCTCGTAGTATTTGATTAGTTGTTGTCAATATTAATTCCATTTTATAATTCGTTGGCTTCCAAAGAATTTAAAAATGGGGTGTATGATGGACAACGGCTACTGCACTCCTCTGCCTCCCGCTGAGCCCATGGATTGCCGCTGGCAGTGCCGGTACTGCTGTTGAGGCAGCAGAGGTGGCAGGCTTGAAATAAGCATTCTGCATCTTTCTGAAAACTGTTTGATGAGCGTTTTGCCTTCTTTTTCACATGAAAAAGACTTACGGGAGAGCAGAGGAGTGATGGCTTGTTATCGTCGCCACGGTGTACACAGCGCTGTACAGTGTGGTCGAAGAGTGTTTCTGTCTGATGAGCCTCCTGCTCGTTCGTAAGGCAGTCTCTCTCGCACTTATACTTGTGCGGTCCACTCAGCAAACTCGTGTGGAAGGCGCAGCATTCGTGGCAGTAGTTCACCGTACACTCCGACTGCTGCTCGGCTGTACTCGCCCGGTGCATCTCCTCGCAATGTTGCCTTCGGGCCAGAAAATGGCTGTTTGTAGCGCACAGAGACCTAAAAGCAAATGCAATGCATAAATTCTCGCATCCAAAGCAGCAGGTGTACTGGATTGATGCTTGTTCACAGAAGGCTTTTAGAATCCTATACCGCTAAAAGCCAGAATACAATCGTAGGCACGAACAATGCATGCATATATGCATGGCTTTTGCTGTTGTATACTTCTTGGTTGCGTGCATGTATGTATGCATGCATGCATGCACTGAACAGCCATCAACTCACCAGAGACGTGCTGGGGCGGGTGTATCCTCTTCCTTGGACGGATTGAATAGACTTGTTGGGTGGAGGCCCTCGAATTTTGGCCCCAATGGTGACATTTGAAATCCATCGAAGGCGACACCTCCACAATTAAATGCAGACATCCCCACAGCGCCGTCCTCGCCGCTGGTGCTGCTGTCTGTCTCTGCTATGAGTTTAAAAACCTCTTCTCCAGGCGTTTGTACGCGAGCTGCAACACGAGAAGAGTCAAAGGCGATATGCAAAGAATACCATCCATCCTGCATCCGCGATAAAGGTGTCCTCGCCACGACTGTGACCTTCTTGTCGTTAATAACACGTAGCCGCAATCTGTGGTGTTTTGTAATTATACGTATGAAAACACACGCAACTGGTAGAATAATAAACAGTGCTTCGAAGAGAAACGACGCACACGAGCAGACACAGGCAGCAGATGCATAGCACCAACCTTATGAAGAACCACAACACAACAAATACTGAGAGTACGGGCAACACCAAAAAAAGGAAAATAAGGAGCAACGAGAGAAGGGGGGCTAAGCTACGCACTCCGTCTCTGTCGCCTCAACAGTTGCATAATTCGCCTCAGTAGAAAATCGAAAGACGGCCCCAATTATTCCCGATGAGCATTGAGGGAAAAAGTCGAAAGACAACTGCCCGCTGCGGCCTGAAACAAGCAACAATGTCTAATTAACAAACTAACAAAGAAAGTCAGGTAAACGAACTCAGAAAAAAACGAGTGGCAGACGAACAAGAGAACGAACGGATGAATGAAACAGTAGGCACCAAACAAATGGACAGACACAACAGGAAATGCAAGAACAGGGAAGCAGCCAAAGAAATCAGCACAGAGTCTAATAAATAGGGTAACTAACCAAATACCAGACAAACAGACGAGTACGTAGGCGGAAAGAAGAAAACGGAACGAACACCCATCTATACAATCAATCAGAACAAACAGAAAAACAGACGACCGAGCAGAGAGACAAACAAAAGAACAAGCAAACACACAATTAAGCGTCAAATAAACGAACGAATATCCCTTACAAGTTCGTTGTCCCTGCAGGACTGCGATCGTCCCGACTTCTTCAGGATCGTGTACTGCATTCAGCTGCGCCAATACTCGATTATGACCTCGCACTTTGTCCTGTAAGCAAAAGGAACAACAGAACCCGAATATACAATACCAATTTACGCAGCATACATAGGGTTTAAGGTAGGAATGTAGTTGCAACACACTACACAAAATTATTTTGCAGGCAACTAGATTTGAGCTGTTGAAAAGAGAGCAAAGCTCATCTACAATACGTGCGTATATACACTCTACGGCGTGTTTTGGGGGTTGGTGAGCTGTGGTTGTTGGCTGCATGCATGCAGCAGCGACAGGGCAGGCCACTTACGCGATACTCCCACTGGCCGATGTTCCCACCTGGGTCTGCCCCGTCGACGATCGAGTAGAGGGCGTTGACACTGCTGAAGTAACTTTCCACAAATACCGAACAAAGAGGAGGCAGCGGCGGCAGTTCACGTTGAGGCGTTAAACATGGAGTTGCCGACACCACCAATTTGTCAAAGTACAGCCCGTCCTGCATTCCAGAAGAGAAGAAGGCGACTGTCCCAGAAACGAACCGCTCGTCTAAAGCCCTGAACACAACCAGAATTGTTGGAAGAACAAAGAAATCAAGAGGGGCGATTTCAAACCTATATATATATATATATATATATATATATATATATA